CCCGCCCTCGCCTAGATCTGGCAAGAACCGAGCCGCTGCTACCTCTCACTTCCGCACTTCAGATCCGTGCGACAAAGGCGGCGACGACCTCTGCCTCGGTCGGGGGCGAGACGAGCTCCGCGCGGCAATGACTACGGCAGCCTCTACCACTGCCGGAGGTGGGACGGGAAGTGGGCCTTGCGCGCAACGTGTTGTGGGCACGGGCGGTGTCCACTGCTGGCCCTCGTGGTCTCGTCTGATCCATCAACCCCAGCATCACAAGGACGGCGACGACCGCGTGGGGATCGGCCTCAGCAAGGCCTTGCTCGAGGCCGCCGTCCGGGCCCTCGGCGCGGTAACGGCGGCGGCGACCTTGCCTCGGCCTGGGGGCGGGGCGGGGCTATGCGTTCACGCCCGCGCCTGTGCGTTGACCTAGGTGGTGAAGATAAGACGAAGTAGATTTGTCTTCTTTTTTCTTCCAATGTCAGGTGGACCCTCGCGGCGGCACACATGATGATGACATTACCTAATGTCGCTGTCACATATGAGGCATTAAGTGGTGCCACATAGCTTGACTAGCAGGCCCCATCTGTAATAAACGCGATCAACAAAGTCAAATCCGTCGATCAGTGGGTTTTTGCAAAACGATTACACAAGACGTTGTGTTTTCTGCAAAAGAAATTGAGTGTAGTGTCTTTTGCTAACCTAGTATTTAAAGTGGTGCTTTTCCGCAATTTACTCTTCAACCACACGTTGGTCGCGCACGTGACTTTATTCAAGACATACTTTTGGATGATGGAAAATCATATTCATAATTAATACAAATGGAAAATGGAAAAAAATGTTTATTCGGCATGTAAACATTATAAATGTTAATTAAACTCTCATCTTTTCGGATGATGTTCAATCATTTTCATAATTGGTAGTTGTTAATGAGTTGTCCAAGAAATTCATGCAATTGAAACTTATTGAAAAGCAGAAAGAAGAGACATGCCTACTTGAAACTTATAATATTTTTTTGCACATGGCTTTATTAAGAGAAATTGCATAGTGCATACGTGAAATAGTCCTGTTGCTCTATTCCGAAATGCATGTCACCCTAATAACACAGGATTTATAAGTTGGACCAACAAACAGACAAATTAAAAGTTGAGTCGTTTTTACAAGGAAAATAAATTATGAGTTTCACATGAAAATGTTTTTCAGCGGGTATTGCATTTTGAATAAACACTAAATAACTCCCGAAATAAACACTATTTGAACCATTTCTATGGGTACTACATTTTGATACAATCTTGTTTTGTCCTAGCCAAAAGCAGACGAACTCAATGCTTCAAAAATAAAAATGAAAAGCATCAAAACTTGTGTTCTAGATGGGTCGAATTAACTGTTGTTTTTCATAAAAAAAATACATGCACATACCTAACTTGAACACTGACAAACTATTATTGTTTAATATTTTTCCCAGTTGGAATTTCTTTTTTCTTGTGTTTTCAGCTTGAAGCTCATCTGTGACCAAGGCATTGTGATGTATGCTCACTGGCATATAAATCTCTTGCTAGTTTAGCTGTTGAAGTGCATTTATGAAACGAAACTGAGAAATTGAAGCAGCCACTGGACTGAACTGAGGTGCCAAGGCTTTGCAAATTCAGATGCTCAAAGCCCGCTCGGTATGAACATGAATCAAACCCGTTTGGCTCCGCAAGCAAAATCAGTGATGGAGCTGAGTATAAAAAGAGATCCATCAATGACGCCGAATTGTGCTCTTCCAAAAGGATCAAGCTTGGTCTGCTCCTCTTCCAGATTCAGTGCAAGTATGTACCTTGAGGATGAACCCAAAACTCTACAACTGAAACATATGGTTCTCGTCAAAAGAAAGAAAGGAAGGTCTGAAGAAGCATCCTCATCTAAATCTAGGGTTCTTAATTTGCTAAGAGAACTGCATCACAACCACTTGCCTGAAATGTCATGCTGTCATGGCATCACATTGATGAATCGCTGAGTTGAACCTAACACGGCACAAAGCTTAGCGTAACAGACATGCGCACAAGTCATAGACAACCTGACACATGGGTTCGGCACAAATGTGCCATAAAACATTACTGAAGCGACAAACGTGAGGCTATAAGCATCAACAGTTCAACACAAAGCCCTACTACAACCTGGCGTAAACGATAAATTAAGCTGGATTACATGCATTTTAACAATACAAGCTGATAGCCTCACGAGACATCAACCTATTTTAGTTAGGTGGATGGAGCTACTAGCCCTTGCAACATGTTCATACAAAAGGACCAACCGACTTAATTCACCCTACATGGATCGATGCATCGAGCTACTTTTCCATGTCGACATGGCGTGAGGCGCAGGACCGTGGCTTCAAGCCTTGCGGGCGGGGCTCAGAAAAACGTCGGTGAGGACGGTCTTGGACTGCAGCGACGCCTTCAGGATCTCCAGACCCTGCAAAAATTGCAGGAAATCCAATGTGACGATTGGTTGATGCACATGATTACAACAAAGAAATATGGAAGACATATATGCCAGAGAAAGCGATAGTGAGGATTCATTGTCACCTCGTCGTAGCCGAGCTGCACGGTCTTCTCCTGGAGCGCGCTGAGATCCTTGACGGCGAATGTGTTGAGCAGGGTGATGCTGGAGATGGAGGACATGGGCGTCACGGTGAGGTCGTCCATCACCGTGTAAGTCACGATGCCCTGCACGTACCCCTTCCCGCTGACGCCGGCCACCGCCTGCGCAGTCTGGCCTCCGGACACGCCCGACGGCACGAGCTTCGCCTCCGTGGTCATCTGCTTGTCACATGACGGGCAGTAGGTGCCGTAACTGCCCGTCACGTAGGTCCGGCAGCTGTAGAATTTGCATGTACCGGAGTGGCCGCTACCATATCCGCTATTGTAACAGCCGCAGGACAAGCTGCACCCATAGAACGTCTTGGCCTGTGGCTGTGGAGGCGGCGGCCCCGGCAAGCCTAGGAGGGAGCTCTTGGTGCTGACCGCCGGCGAAAGGACGGAGGGGTGGAGCAGCGCGTCCTTGGCGGCGCCGGGCTGGACGTAGGTGGCGTCGAGCTTCTCGACGCTTCCGTAGAGGCTGCCGACGCTGCCGACCATGGAGTCCTTGCCGAGCAGCTTGACGGCGGTGCCGACCGGCAGGGAGAGGAGGGAGAAGAGGAAGTCCACCACGTCCTTGCTCGCCTCCGCGAACAGCACGCGCCGGGCCTTGGTGTCGATGAGGAGCTTCATGCTCAGCGCGGTGCTCCCGGTGGTCGCCATTCCGTAGCTCTTGCCTTGCGCCTCAGACTTGTATGGGGATGGTGAGGAGGACCGAATGTTAGAATTAAACACGGCAACTTGTGTCAGTGTCCGCTCCTGTGTACGTATACAAGTAAGAGTCCGTGTAGGTTTCTACCTGATCACCGAATAGGACTAGACTAGTTGTACCTAGTATATATAGTCATGTACCCCTGGCTTGTAATCATGTGGAATTGTGAGAGCAATACGAAGAAACAACATTGCTTTATCGTCAGCATTGCTTTATCGTCAACATTGCTTTATAGGGATCGTCAGCATTGCTTTATCGTCGTTCATCGGGTGTCGTCCTACGTCGGAAAGTACTCGGCGTCGGGTCTGGGCCAACATCGAAGAGAAATAGGCTTGAGTGCTTGGCAGCGAGTGTGCTGTGGAGTATTTAAAGAGGAAGAAGAGCAAGAGCTACATGAGAGAGACGGAGAGCAGCACATGGAAGAGAGGGAGAGAGAGAGAGAGAGAGAGCGCGCGCGCGCAGCGCACGAGGCATGGCCATGGACAGAGGAGCAAACGTGTGCTGAGAGCAAAACGATTTGTGTTGGGAGGTGGATCTGTGATCGTCACAAAACAATGAGCGAGTGACCGACGGGATTGATCCCTGCGCGCACGGCAGTCGAGTCGATAAGCACTGCGACCGTGATGAGTTGGAGTTGTTGACGATATCAACTTGCGGACCATCATCATGCCAGCCACCAGCACTGTCTGTGAGTCTGTCTATCGTCGACGAGCGGAAAGATATCAGGTGATATCATGTGTTAGGTAATACCATGATACGGGCTTTTGGGAGCCGTTGGATCTCAGATCCGACGGCTCCCCGGAGTTCTTGAGCATTTTGCAAAAAAGGTTATTCGGGAGTCTTAAAATTTCACGTAGGTACAATAGACTTCCGAGAGTCATCGGATCTGAGATCCAACGGCTCAGAAGCCCGTATCATGATATCACCTAAGTGTTGGTAGCACCTGATATTTTCCCGTCGACGAGATGACTGATGAGAGGTCTCGAGCTATACACGTTGACAGAAAAAGGCGTCTCTCTGCTAGGGACGAAATGGGAGTCGACGAAACCCTAAGAGCATCTTCGGTCGCGCCCTAACAAGACCCCTCAGACGAGTTTTCGGCTGCCGGCGTCAAAAAATCGGCCCAGTCGCGTCCCAAGGGCCCAATTTCCGCCAGCTCGGGCCGAAATTGGCGCTGGCCGACCCAACTCGACCCTGGCATGCTGGGGGACGCTCGCGGGGCGCCGGACGAATCGTTTTTGGCGCGAAAGAGCTGCAGGCCCTCCTTGCCAGCGACTCGTCTCGCTTCTCGCCGCTTTGTCGTCATCATCGCCTCGTTTTCCACGGCGAATCAATGCCAAAGCAGCCGCGCGCTGGCGCGCCGGTCAGCCTCCACCATTGATGCCTCACGGGCGGCGCAGTGAAAACGAGGCGACGCGCGTCCCCTCGCATGCCACGCGTAACGCGGCGGCCACGCGTACGCGCGGCGCCTCCGCCTACATAAGCCGACCCCCAGCACGCGATGGCACGCACAGAGTCTCCACTGCCGACGCCGCCTTTCTCCCTCTCCTCTCGCCGTCTTCAGCTCAAAGAATGGCCGAACGCTTCTCAGGCGACGGCGCGGCGGCGAACGGCTTCGGCCGCCGCCACCTTCACGAGCACGAAACTCGGCTCCTCTTCGAGGCCGAGTACCCGGTCCCGCCGGACATGCGGGTGCAAGGGGCCTGGAGAATCAGCGCCGGCGGGGTCCCGGTGCCGCCACCGCCCACCGGGGCGGCGCGGCGCGCTGAGATCGCGCGTATCCGCTCCTCCATGCCGCGAGCGGTGAGGGAGGGGCCACGCTACGTTCCCGACAGTCCGCTCTGGGAGCCATA